AAAAAAAGTATTTATTGGGACCAGCAGTTAGCGTAATGGCTATGTTGCTGGACTCCCATGTAGTTGCCCGTGGTTCAAGTCCCGGACCCGGTGGCTTAAAACTCACACCAGGCGCGTGTGCGTGTGTGCCCAAGATCCTGAGAGAATGGAGGAGAAGGGATTGTGGCATGGCCATCCCCGGAGGTGATTTCTGTCTTTCTGTCTCTATGTCTTTCTCTGTCTGTCTGGCGAGTGCACGCGCCCTATGGCAAAAACCTCTCCAAAATAAAAAAAAAGAGTTAAAAAATTATTTATTATTATTTTAAGTTTGCTATAAAGCTCGTGTGCTCATCAGAGAGATAACAGAGGGAGAGAGAAGGAAAGTAAGAAAGCAAGTCGACAGATCCAGGACTCAAACTGCAGTTGTCCACATGGGAGTCCAATGCCTTAACCACCACGCTATTTGTTGGCCCCTGTACTTCACATTTTAAAGTTTATTAATGTGATTAATGATAGAAAGTGTGTGCATGGGCATGCGAGAGACAGAGAGAAGCACCATCAACACGGTCTTGTCATACCACGGTCCCCTCCCGCAGCCCTCTAGCTCTTCAGGACCTTGGGCATGCATGTGCACACCTGGGGCATTTCAGGTCAACCAGGCTGGAGATCCCAACCCGCCGTCAGCCATGTGGCATCCAGCACTGCAGTTTAGCACCCTGCGGACTGCGCCACCGAGGCTGGGGCTCCATGAACTTTTTGAAGTCTCTTCATAGGCATGCATTCACATGGTTGCAAACAGGTCATGGAAAAGAAATCTTGGTGAAGTGTGGTGAAAACTAGCTGAGATTAAACACATTTGTTTATGAGGTTTTATCAAAAGAATAGCTTTACTGGGACCAGCAGATGGCATAATGGTTACATCACTGGACTCCCATGTGGTCAACTGTGGTTCGAGTTCCGGACCCAGTGGCTTAAAACTCACACTAGACACGTGTGTGTGCATGCCCAGGATCCCAAGAGGAGAATGGAGGAGAAGAGACTGCGCTGCGGCATGGCTACCCCCTGGGGGGTGAATTCTTGCTTTCTGTCTCTCTGTCTCTCTCTGTCTCTCTAGTGAGTGCACATGTCCTATAGCAAAAATCTCTCTTAAAAAATGGCTTTATTATTAATAGTACGCTGATGCAATACTAGAATTTAACTCTAATTAATTAAGTGACAAAAGTTCTTGGAATATTATATTGAGAATGTCAAGATCTTTCTTTCAATAACTGTCCTAGGAAACAAAGATTTTATATTTCAACAAGCAAATTCTTTGTGATTCACGTTTTCTTTTATTAGGGTTTTTTTTTTTTTTTTGAGAGGTTTTTGCTATAGGGCGCATGCACTCGCCAGACAGACAGAAAGAGACAGAGAGACAGAAAGCGAGAGATCACGCCGCAATCCCTTCTCCTCCATTCTCCTCTCGGGATCTTGGGCACGCACGCACTTGAGCCCAGCGTGAGTTTAAGC